GCAGGCCTCCGGCGGCCTCGACTGGAACTCGGAGGCCTTCGGCCAGCTCTACAACCCGGGCTTCGAGTGCCACCTCAACGAGCCCAACGTCATCCTCGACATCTCCAACTACACGCCGCAGAAGGCCAAGCAGCAGACCGTGTCGGAGACCTTCTCCGAGTCCTCCTCCGACAGCACCCAGTTCAACCAGCCGTCTGGCTACCGGCGCGCCAACAGCGAGGCCTCGTCCAGCGAGGGCCAGTCCAGCCTGTCCAGCCTGGAGAAGCTCATGATGGACTGGAATGAGGCGTCCTCGGCCCCGGGCTACAACTGGAACCAGAGCGTCCTCTTCCAGAGCAACTCCAAGCCTGGACGGGGCCGGCGAAAGAAAGTGGACATGTTCGACACGTCCCACCTGAACTTCTCGTCCTCTTCCTCGTCCTCTTCCGTGTACCCCTCCAAGAGGAGCACGGGGCCCCGGCAGCCGCGGGGCTCCCGCGGGGCCTGCGCCTCCAAGAAGGAGCGGGGCACGGGCAAGGCCAAATTCCCCACCAAGTCCCAGCCGGTGAACGCCCTCTTCCAGGAGAGCGCGGACCTGGGCCTAGACTACTACAGCGGGGACAGCAGCATGTCCCCCCTGCCCTCGCAGTCGCGGGGCTTCGGCGTGGGCGAGCGGGACCCGTGCGACTATGCCGGCCCCTACTCCATGAACCCCTCCACCCCTTCCGACGGGACCTTCGGCCAGGGCTTTCAGAGCGACTCCCCCGGCTTGGGGCAGCCGGATTTGGAGAGCAAACACTTCCCCGCGCTCCCGCACCAGCTGGCGGCCCCCGGCCAGCAGACTGTCTTCGAGGCCGGCTTGCAGAAGGCCTTCTCGCCCAACTGCTCGCCCACGCTGGCCTTCAAGGAGGACCTGCGGGCGGGAGCGCCAAGCACGGCCTGCAAGGGGCGGCCCTGCCGCACGCGCCGCACATGGCCTGCCGCGACCTGCCCATGCCGCAGCCGCACTACGACTCCCCCCGCTGCAAAAACCCCCCGTACTGGTACTCGCCCAACGCCAGCACCCGCAGCCCCTCGTACGACGGCAAGGCGGGCGCCGGCATGCTCGTAGACTTCATGGGCAGGACGGACCCCTCGTGTCTGAACCCCCACTTGACCAGCCCGAGCGTCGCCGACCCCCCCAAGGGCGAGAAGGAGCCCTTGGAGATGGCCCGGGCTCACCACCGCGGGCCTTACGCCTGTCCCTTGATCAGTGACTTGAATATCTCCCCCGTGCCGAGAGACTCAATGCTGCAGCTGCAGGACAACTACAGGTACCCCAGTTTTGCACCCCAAGGGCACCCCGTCATGGCCCCCACCCAGAAGAGCGGATTTTTGGGTCCAATGGTAGAGCAACACCCCGAGGACACTTTTACGGTCACCTCATTGTAGTGTCAGCTGACGTGCCAACCGGACAACGAGGTTTTGTTACAGGGTAGGTCCGCGGCGGGGAGCGGGAAGGGGGGACAGCGGGTGCCACAGGGCACA